AATGAAGTTTTCTATAACGAATAAAATTATAATTAATTAAAAAAAATCGGGACGGCCTTTTAGAGATAACGATAAGTAAATTTCGCTTTGATTTAGACAAAGTATAACAAGTTTTTGCCCTTTATATTGCAAAATGTACAAAAAACTTATCGTTATGCTAATATAGTGATTTTGCACAACCGTTAGACAATGCCAAACCTCCATGTATAGGAAAGTTCACTTTGTGCAACCAGCACATACAATTTAAGATATCTCCAAATGCGTATATTTCACGTTCAATGAATGTTCGGAGAAAGAGGACATCCGCAAGAGACCTGGTGAGCTTAATTTTTTTTAATTGCAAGTCAAAAAATTTCGATCAAATATCAAAATTGATCTATGTCAACAAAAGTGTTTGACCATTTAATATTTATGCCTATTTTTAATAACAATCGTGCATATATTAAATAATCAAATCTTAATTATTTTATATATTAACATAAAATCTAAATTTTTAACAAAAATAAACGATAAATCGTGTATTAAAAAAAAATTAAGGGTTACTTTAACAAATATTGGGAAACACTATCCCAAGGAATTCGAAATATTCTCACAGGAACTTGGGAAGTTATATCTTACGAAGCCATTTATCGTGACTGTTATAGACTAATCCTTGGAGAATATGGAGATAAGTTATATAGCAGTATAAGAGAGCTTATTGTTCAACACTTAGAAAAAGTTGCATCATTGAAAATCGTGCCGGCTCTCCCAATTTCAGAAGCTAATAGTTCGCAAACAAATTTCGCTAATATGATCTTTTTAAAAATATTAAAAAATGTTTGGGAGCGTCATAAAGCTAACATGCTCTCTTTAAGAGATGTTGTAATGTATATGGTAATTTTCGTGCATTATTTGTTTACGTCTACTGCCCATATGTGCTTATAATTTTAACCAAGTATTTTAAAGGATTATTTATACGCCAATGCAGCAAATGTTCCTCTTATTTACGAACTTGGATTGGAGCTTTTCAGAGATATAATCGTCAAATCTACAAAATATCCAATTCAGACTCACCTTTTGAACACGTTTTTATATCAAATCTTTTTAGAACGTGAAAAAGAGATCATAGATCGTTCTATAATGAAAGCAATAACAGAGATGTTACTAGAATTAACTGATGAAAATACGAAGGATTCTGTTTATAATATTGATTTCGAAAGATTATTTTTGGAAAAGAGCTCCGAATACTACCGAATTGAAGGTCATTTGCTTGTAGAAGAATTAAATGCACAAGAATATCTTAAAAATGTATATTATTAAATTTATTTTGTATATTATTATATTATATTCTGATCGGTTATGCATTCTTTTAGGTTGAAGAACGTTTTAAACGAAGAACAGGAACGTGTAGAATATTATCTTTCACAGACAAAAGGACCAAAAATTAGGTGTATTGTAAAAGAGGAACTCATATTAAAGCAACTTAAAACTGTAATTGAGGTAATAAATATACAATAAATATGTATACAATATTGGGCAAAAATTGTCGAATAACGGTAATTTGGCAAATGAGCACGTGCCGCTTTGCGGCACGT